CCCCCTCGCCGTCCCTCCCTCCGTTCCCCTCGGCCCCCGCCCCTCGGTCCTCACCACCCCCCGCAGACTCCCCTGCGGTTTCGCTCAGACCCTTTCCAGGACCCCCTCTCAGCGCCCATCCCGCCCCGGCCCGGTCACCCTGTTCCCCTCCATGCCCCATAAATCCCCCTCGCATCCCCTTGGGTTCCCTCTCCGGGTTTCCTCCCAGGAACCCCCTGCTGTGTCCCGATGTCCCCGTATCCCCTCTTCCACTGCAGGGCAGTACCCTCCCCAGCCCCCCTTCCAGCCCAAGACCCTTCAGCCGCACATCCCAGATGGGACATCCCACTGGGCTCAGGACCCTAGAGACAGGGATGGGAGCAGGCAGGGGCTGTGGAGCAGGAGCTTCCCTGACCTCAGGTGCCTTGTCACCGGGGCCGGCGCCACCTCGAGGTGCCTGGCCTCTGGGCTCCCTTTTGCTCCCAGATTCTTGCACCTGGGCTGCAATTTTTTTCCCTCTTCCCTTCATCTGTTGATGGAAATGATTTACAACCGGCTTACACGGGCCGCCTGATCCAGGCCTTCATTGGACGGTCAGATTAACCGAGGGTCCTTCTGATAAAGATAATTACAAGGGGACTCCGCATTAACTTTGCATTATTAAAGAAAGACCCAAATCTCCCATCGCAAGCTGTTCCCAGGATTAGCAGAACAATAACTTTCATTTAGGATAATTGCCGTGGCCGGCACTGGGGGCTGGCGGGGGGGGACCCTCTGGGCCATCGTGCTTCTCACCAAGAAAGGCAAACGGGCGTGAGGGGACTGGGAGGTGTGGAAGTGGGACCACCAATTTGGGGTACTCGTGTTCTCAGGGTGAACTGATGCCTGGGGCATCCCCACCCAGGGTTGCTCCCTGCCTGGACACAGAGCGCCCCGGGATCCCCTTGGGCATCTTCACTTCTCCAGAGTGGTTTTGCTGCAGTTTTGCTGGAATAGGAGACTTTCACTGCTAGGCAGGGAGGATCTGCCACAGTAATTAGAAGTCATAATCCGGCCACCACCCACAACAAATTTCCTGTTCGAGCAGATATTAGTGGTTAAAACCCTAATTTTTGATGTTGTCCCAGAATCAGCTTGATTTCAGCAGTTTACATTGAGGCTGAGCTGTTGGGAGAGATGACGAAGCCTTAAATATGCATATGGCCTAGACATTTGGAAAGTTTGGGGATAAAGCATGTATAATTGCTCCTAATCAGTTTATGAAACATAAAAGCTCAAACCCCAGAGAAAGCCGATAGATGCAGAAATGGAAATAGCGATTAAATCTCCCCATGCTGGCAAGGTGGCCTGGATATGGCGCTGCTGCCCAGGGCGAGGGTGACCGAGGCCGTGCCCTGGGGGATGGGGACACACCCGCTCCCGGGACAGGACAGTGGGATGGAGTGTGGGGACACTCCTGCTGCACCCCCAGCTCCCCCAGGCATGATGAAGATGGGCACCTCCACCAGTCCTTTGGACAATAAATCAGTTAAAGGATATCTTGATATATGCTCATCAGATAGGATTAGCTGGGATTAGACTAATCAGTAAATGTTTCTCTGCTCATTATTTTCTAAGGAAGATTTTCAGCTGATTCTCCGACGCCGAAAGATTATTAATCGCTTAAAGAGCAGAACATCAAACATCGCCCCTTGCTCTAATTTCCCTGGGGTTTGCCCCCCCTCTCCATGGGCAGGGTGCCTGTGCCAGCCGGCCCAGCAGCCTCAAGGTGCCCCAGCAGCCAGAATCTCCATCGGGCTCTACCAGAACAGCCCAAGGCCACAGGGCCCTGGCCTTGGTGCAGTCCCATGTCCCAGGGGGTGAGTGTTGCCTGCAGCTGATGCTGGAGCACTCCCATCCCTGCTGCACTTTGCAGGATTAGGGACACAGCGAGGTGGGACAGTCCCCAGATTGTCCCCTCCTCCCCATGGCTGCTCCACCACCACCTCAGACACCAGCCATGACCTACAGGATGGAGGGCACCGTGATGGGATGGATACCTGGAGCTGTCCCACTCAGACCCCAGAAACAAGCCTTGGAAGTCCTTAGGGGATTACAGACACATGCAGCATTTTGGCAGACCCTCCTCAGCTGATGATAACTCCAGAGCCAGCATTTGGTGGGTTTTTGGAGTCCCTGTCTTCACCGTGGGCTCAGGGAAAGCCCTGAAGGATGTGCACTCAGCCTGCAACCACCTGCTGTAGCAATGAGGAGGGGGCAGCAAGGAGAAGGTATTGAAGGGCCTGGTTTAGGGGATTAGTAATGGGATAAAACAGCTTTCACCTCCCTGGTTTAGATATGAATCAGGTCAATAATAAAGGACCATCTGACAGTTTCAGGCAGCTCAGGATGGAAGAGGCTCCTATGCCCCAGGCTGGATGGAGAACCCATCTCCAAAAGCCCAGCTCTTACCGCACACCCATCCATGGTACCTGCACCAGCAGTCACAGCCCAGTCCGGCTCCCCAGCACCTGCATCAGCTGCTGGCACACCAGCACAGCAGCAGGCTGGATCCTGCTCCCAGGGATGATGCTGGCACCACAGCCCTTGGTCACCTGCTCAGCCAGCCTGTTGGTGGCCATGGTGGGCCTGGCACAGGTGCAGGGTGACCCAGAGGTGGAGAGCAGCAGGGTGAGCAGCCAGCTGATGGCAACACAGACAGTTTGGCAAGGGTAGGAACCTCAGCAAGTGTGGACAGAAGAAAAAGGGCTTTTCTTCTGCCTCCTCCACATCCTGCTGGGAACATGGGGAAGTGATGGCTGTTGTGAAAGCATTGTCTCTAACACGTGGGTGAAAAGGAACTGAGAAACAGGCCATAGCTAGGGGAGAAGGCAGCAAAGACGGGGGTGTTGCAGCCAGTCCCATCTGTGTTTTGCAAGGCTAAATCCCCACCTCTGAGTTACAGACGTGCCTCCTCCTTGAAATGCAGGCAATGAAACTTTCCTCAGGCTGCAGCAGGGCTCAGTAGTGGATTGTGTGCACACTCCTGGCCAGTTAGCAATAGGAACATGTAGTGGCCAAGTACAGACCATTTTGGGGTGATGGATTTGCACAGGCAGGCAGCATGAACAGGTTAAATGAATCAGGGAACCTGTGCTCCCTGCACTGTCAGGCTGTGGGAAGTGCTTCTTTGGCAGCTCGACTGGGTGTGGGTGAAGCAGAGGGTTTGCAGGGTGAGCGCAGCCACAGCTGGCCACGCACCACCCGCTCAGTGCCGCAGCATCACCAGCCCAGCTTACTGCAAGTGTTGTCAGCCCTAATTTGGCACGGAGGGTCCCTTTCCTTGTCCCGCTCTGCATGCCCCAGAGACATCCCTACTAATTCCTCTGCACAGATTTCTGTCTTAAGGCATTTGCCTTTGATTAAAACCAGAAGAGCAGTCACGGTTTAAGTGGAGTTTAAGAGCAAACCATGTGCCACTGCACAGGGCGCTCACATCTGGAGTGTCACAGATTTAATCAAACTGCTGGGAAGTGCCGCACGCAGACAGCTGTCACAGCAGCCTGGAGCCCATCTCCTAATTAATTCCTAGCCAACACAGGGCAAACAAATGGCCATCAAGGTGCTGCACCTACAACATCAACTGTAAGCATGGCTGGCAGTTGGTGAGCGAGCAGAGCTCACCCTGTGTACCTCCACGGAGCCACGGGTGATGTAGCCCATGGCAAGTGCTGTTCCTGCTCCTCGGGAGGAGCCTGGGGCTTTTTCCAGAGGTGTATATGTGGGAACAGGAGGGACAGAGTGTTCAGGAAGAAACCCAGATGGAGCAGGCACAACAGCAGTAGCTCTGATTTCTGGTTGCTCCTACAGCTGCTGCTTTTTGCTTCCCCTCCTTCTTGCTTCTGCCAAACTTGTTGCTTTCTAGTACCATTTGTCTGCCCATCTCCCATCACCGTGGGCAACCCCCTCTTGTCCTGTACAGGATGTGTGAGCTGGAGCACAGCCCTCCCTGGAGACGCTGTGCCTGGTGCTACCCAGGGCCTGGCACCCGATGCAGGTTCTGGGCGAACTCTGCTGCCGCAGCCTTAAACAAAATCTGGGCAGTGGCAAAACAGGTCAGGCCCAGACTTGGTTCTCCTTGGTGCTCATTCACAGCTCATTAAAGCTAATTGAAATGACTACCAAAGCTGGGTCTATGTGGGTGTTTGGAAGCTCTGGGCACAAGGCACAACTAGGCTGGGAATATCCAACTGTGAGGAGCCCCAAACTAGCCGATGGACTGTCCACTCCAATTAGCCCCACAAAGGAGCTATTATTCCTTTGCACTATGCTTGTCTGATTACTTTATCTTATTATTTTTTGATCATTCCTCCAAAATGTGCTAATTAAACAGAAATCATCAAGTCAATTAGAGAAACTCTCATTAAAGCCGAAAAGAAAAGAAAGTATCGGCAGAAGAAAAACGGCTGTGAGGGTCACAAACACACACAATAGCTGCCACATTCATTAAATCAGCAACTCCCAAAAGAGGGGTAGACACTGTCCCACTCTGGTCTATGCCCTGGAAATGAAACTTCCCAAGCAACAGAGTCAGACTCCTCTCCTCTCCTCTCCTCTCCTCTCCTGCTTTCTGCTGCTTCCCATGGCTTTCCCAGCTCCCAGTCCAGGAGTAAAGTGACCCCAGGCAGCACCTTCTCCATGTTCATACTCAGCACCTCACCAAGCAAAAGCCTTCCAGAGCAATGCTCCCCTTTGCACCTCCCTCCCCTGGCCTGGAAGCAAGACACAGGAAAATCCAGGAGAAGAACATGTTAACCAGTGATTT